TTTAAAGATGCTGCCTCAATTACAGGACTTATATAATACCAATACGGCAATTTTTAGTATATGAGTATTGTAGTTGGCTTTGTTATGGATTTATTACTTAATTAATTAATTATTTTAATGCGATTTACTAACTGTACTAGTTATAGGTGTCGTGTAGACTTGACAGACCATTATAAAGATATATCTGCAGCATAAATAGAACAAGATAATAGGGCCTGTATATCTTATCAACATAACGAAAACTAACCTGCCTTAGGGCAGAACATTTATACTGACGCTCAGAAAAAAAGTTATATTGGTGGCATGTCCGAAGGAATCGAATTTCAGTCACTTCTGTCTATTTTATTTATTTTTATTACAGTGTGTCTACTTCCTCTCTCTGCTAGACCTATGAGAGAGAGATTAAAAATTATGAAAGGGTCGTATAATTAGAGCAGGCCTATAGTAATACCCATAAAAATGGGCCTAAATATTATGATCAAATTGGTACAGCTTTTTCCTCCCAAAAAAACAAAATGAAAAGTTCATAACCCGCGTAGTAATTAAAATGACAAGGATACTAACGAAGCAAGTACTCTAATTGCTATACGATAACTCTTAATTCGGCTATCTTCTTGTTCAAGAAGCCAAATTTTAAATTTCATGGTAACAGCAAGTACAGTGTACCAAACTGGATTTGCGGTGGACTTGGTTCATGTCTTTCTCTGCGTCATTCGGTTTTTTCGCTACCAAAATAATTCCATAAATGCTGATATTCACTCTTCCATCAACCGGGGGATGGGCGATTGTGCCTTCAGCATCTGCAGTTCCACAGCAACGATAAAGATAATGTAAGTAAATATAATTATGATGATGAAGTTTAGTCAGGACCGGGGTTCGATCCCCGACGAGGGCAGAGGATTTTTTTTTCCAGCCTCTGCGTTCAGATTGGTTCTGGGGTACACCCAGCCTCCTATCTAATGGGTACTGGTGTCCTTTCCCATGGGTTAAGCGCGGCCGGGGCGTGATACTGACCACTCACCCTCATCTAGTGCCGAGGTCAGTTTTAATGTAACATCAAATATACCGATTAGTGTACTTAGTGAATACTGAGAAATTAATAATAATAATTATATTAAAGGAAGAAAGGTAAAATTAACTGTATTGTTTATTGTGGGCTACATTTTCCAAACTACTGTAGGGGAAGAAAGAACTCTCCGTTTAAGGTTTACATGCGTCATGTTTGTGTTTTTGATTAAAATATATAATAAAATACAGGTCAATACACAAAACTTTATTTGGATGTTAAAATTTAAAATTTAAATGTTAAAATTTAAAATTTAAATGTTAAAATTTAAAATTTAAATGTTAAAATTTAAAATTTAAATGTTAAAATTTAAAATTTAAATGTTAAAATTTAAAATTTAAATGTTAAAATTTAAAATTTAAATGTTAAAATTTAAAATTTAAATGTTAAAATTTAAAATTTAAATGTTAAAATTTAAAATTTAAATGTTAAAATTTAAAATTTAAAATTTTAAATTTTAACATCCAAATAAAGTTTTGTGTATTGACCTGTATTTTATTATACATTTTAACTCTCCGTTTGTTTCTTAAATAATTATATCGACGCTTTCTCAACTGCTTAGGTTATGTCCGTTCTGTCGACTAGGAAGACGATCGTAAATTATGGGCTACAAAGAGCACAGAATTAAGTGATCGTACTTTAGTTTAAATTATTTTTCCACTGTCTCCCTGGTTAGAACGAGGTAACTAATGGATGCCTGACTCCGATACTCAAATTTGGGTCGCATCTAATATTGTTCAGGGTATTAACCACTACACCCGCGACATCTATCTGGCAAGAAGAATGGAAAACACTTGCTTGTCGCAAATTATATCCATCCTCGTCCAATCGAATAAGAAACAAGTAGCAAACGT